GTGTGTGTGTGTGTGTGTGTGTGTGTGTGTGTGTGTGTGTGTCCGACAACCAAATGTACCATTGTTGTGTCTGAGTGTGAGTTCAACTTTTTAAAAGGACATTCATCATTTTAATGCAGCTTTTTTTTTTAAATGTGCTATTTTACATCCTTTCAACCTTATGTGCAAAGAAATTATTTTTCTTTGATAGGTCTACCGGCTTGCTTTCAACCGATAATTTGGTATTTAGCTAAAGTGGAATCAAATGAAATGAAGATTTAAAAGGGCAAGCATGGCATTTTTCATTTTAATCACTCTGAACAAAAAAAATACATCATTTTGAAACAGAGAAATTAGCTTAAAGGGGGGTATTAGGTATTTTCCAGGAACATACTTCAATTCTGTAATCAAGAAACTATGTTACCTTCCGTTGGTATGAAAATACTTTAWATCAAAAATTAATTTGACTTTGCATCATAGCCTATCTAAAAGCCTTGAACATAGCCTCTGTCTATTCAAAAACCTTGACACTCCCACTTTAGCATGCTTTCAAACAATGCTTCAGGGGATGGGGGGCGGGGGCTCTGCTTCAGACTGAGCTCCAGGGAGGAGCTTTGTACAATAGGTGGTGCTTTGTACCTACAAGAGTTTCAGCAGCTCCATATGGGATTTGCAGGAGATTCACGGACTTCTCAAACATATAATGAGTCTGTAACAWAATATAAAGCCCAAAAAAAGTTGATTTTGCCTAATACCCCCGCCACCACCTCTTCTTAATGGGTTTCTTCTGATACAAATTCTTTTATTTGAACATTCCTGCTTTTCTTTCTTTTTTTAATCTTCTTTCTCTTAGGTGACTTAACAGCTAAACATAAAACATCCAAAGAAAGTTTCGATTTTTATACTTTTACCTTAAAATAAGAAATATCTACGTTCATGCATGGTTATTTTGGGGCTATAAAATCCATGTTCATTTAAAGAACAGTCATTACCTTATTTCATAAAAGTGCATGAAAAWAATCCAATTGATCTCCTTTTTAGTCAAATATTAACAAATATCTTTGTGATCAAACATAATAAACCCCTTGGTTTTGTTTAACAAAATGCATTGCAGGATGCGTTTATACATTGTTGGGGTTGCTGCAGGGCTGAAACAGTTTTTTTTTTGTTTGCTTGTTTGCTTGATTGTTTTGACTGAATATTCCAATAAAAATTGTTTCTTAAATTTTGGTTTTATTTTTATCAGTGGTGATGAAAACTTTATGAAGGATTTTTGTGATACAGATTGTGATTAAGGTCACTCAAGGGACATGAAATGCTTTCAATACATTCTTTTTTTTTTGTAAGAACATGTTCTGCAATTTATTTTTTTAGACTGTGTGACGATAGCCGTGTGCGGATTCATATCCCTTCTATATGTCATTAAAAGAGGAACAGGCCCACTGAATTATCTGACAGTTTCTGTACGTGGCATTTTAGGCAATCTCTTGGATTTTTTTTTTCAATTTGCATTGGCCTTATGATGATGGCAGTCTAAAATACTACAAAARAAGACAAACAGTGAGCTCCAGAAAAGTGCTGTTGCATTGCAGATCTTAACAGGAACCCAGCTGCTAGCTTGCAAGTTAATGGGAGCTCATATCAAGCGTTACATACAAGTTAGYGGGTTACCTTAGCTGTAACTTTGTAAAGCAGTGCTGAGAATCCACTCAAAGTGGTGAGCAGTCCTGCAGCGCATGTCTGTGGACAAAAAAGAGAGGTGCATATTGACTTTCCTTAGACTTTTTTATATCTTTGTGTTTCTCACCGTCTGTTCATTTTATTCATCCTCTAACAACATAGGATTGCTTCAGTATCTCTTGTATAAAATATATTGTTTTTATCAAATGGGGGAACATTTAAACTTGTATTCCCAGCTTAAATTCCTCTTGTACCCATTTCCATAATCTTTTCATCAACAATACTTAAATATTGTCAAGATGATAGGAGCTATAGTCCAACAAAAACAAGCCAAAAGTCATAAAAAGTGAGAAAGTAAAGCTGTAAACAACCAAAATGAGCGTAGAGACTTTAATACACAGTTGTGCATCCCTATTTTAAAAAAATAATATGAGACACATTTAAACAATCAAAATGAAACATGTATTGTGACAAAAAAGAAGAAAGGGGAAAAAACACAAAATGACCCAGTTGATAAGAGTGGAGAGCCTTCTGAAACAAGTCAAGCTTTTTGTAATATAACAATAACTTATCAGTTCTTAAGATGTATTGGGGTTTTTTTCTATTTAAATGAGTTATGTGAAGTGGTCACACGTGTTTTTATTTATTGTTTTTTTATTTAATTACTTTTGTATATACTTGGTGCTAATTTTGAGTATCAATGTTCAACTTATTTGGGAGTCGGGTGCCATGACTTCTGTTTTTTGTAACTTTTGTGTATTTTAATAATATKTAACTTTATTTGCAAATATATTCTCCATCAAATATCTTTTCAGATTTCCACAATTCCTTTAAAATAATTTTTCTTTTTATGATGTGCTTCAGCATACCACTTCATGTTTGTCTCCTACTTTCAGTTACTTGCTTGGATTTTGCTATATCTATCTATTAATATTGTATTTTAGCTAGAACATTGTTCCTCTACGATTTTAGTAAGGCTTTTTGTTACTTTAAACTAATATCTAGCCTATGACAATTTTAGCTAATCGTTGCTATTTCATTTTTTAGCTAGGTTTTTTTTTTTTTTTTACTTTTAGTTAATAGTAGTTTGGCACTTTTAACAAGAGGGTTTCTGCTTTACACTTTAACTAGTAATTTGCTTCATTTAGCTTTTAGCTATGTTGTGCTTTTTAACAACTNTAGGTTTTTTTTTTTTTTTTTTTACTTTTAGTTAATAGTTTGGCACTTTTAACAAGAGGGTTTCTGCTTTACACTTTAACTAGTAATTTGCTTCATTTAGCTTTTAGCTATGTTGTGCTTTTTAACAACTCGGATTCAGTGAAGCTAAAAGCACGGTTTTCGTAAATGCTATACAAGAATAAAAAAGACACAAACTGTAGAATAAGTAACTGCCTGTAGCACTCAAAAAGACACCTAATGTGAATGAAAATTAAGTTTTTCTATGTCAAAAAGTACAGAAAGTTAAATCTGCTCTAAAAACAGAGGAGGAACAACCCCGGAAGTAATAAACCTTTTACCTCCGTAGCTTTTCATCTTTGCAGCGACAAAACAGCCCTGCCGGTAGAACATACGTCACTTCCTCAACTTCTATCCATTTGTTTGTAGCGAGCGCCAGCAGTTACCTGCTACCTTTTACGCCAAAAAGAGCGTAGTTGTTTATCTTACGGCGTGTTGTTTGGTGGAAGCTGCATTGTTTTGTCTTATATTTAAGCTTTGAGCTTGAAACAGAAAATGCAAGTCGTCTAGCAGTTTTCGAAGTCGCTGGACAGGAAAGAACAGGAAAACGTGCGCTATCGATCACAAGTAGTCCGTCAGCTAACGTTAGCCTGCTAGTTTAGGTTAATTGGCTAACTATTGTTAGCTCCCCGCGTTTTAGTGCCGATCTGGTACTGTTCCTCTTCATTGTTGTACCGGCAGTTTCTTGGTGTTTTTTAGCTGATGGAGTGTCCCCATCTGAGCTCAAGCGTAGGTTGTTCCTCTGATGCCTCCAGGTTCCCTAACGGTACACCGACGTCCTGGTGTTGTAATGGTAAGAGCGATTTCTGACTTTATTTTACTGAACGGTGTTGCAGAGGACTTTTTTTATTTTTATTCCAGCCTCCGATTAAGCCACTGAGATTGGCATTTTGTGTTGGCTTGATAACACGTTGATTGGTTTGACAACGCAGTCGTGACCACAAGGCAAATGACGAAAATACGGAGTTATAAAACGCATGGAAGAATGATGTTTAGAGAAATGAGTCACTGCACGACTCGTTTTTTATTCGACTAAAACAAGCCTTTTTTTTTTTTTTGTTCAGTTTGCAGGTCTAATAAAAGTCCTTGGATTTGTCTTACTTGTCTGATGGTCCACTGTGGACGGTAAGTTCTCTTATTTGTTGGCAATCAATAGTTATACTGTTTGTGACATTTACATTTTGGACAATATACAACAATATAAGGGCTGTAGTACATACAACAATGACCTGAGGCCATTAAAAATAATTTGTGTGTCTTTGTATTGGGTTTTGGCTTTGTGAGAAATAGGCCATTTTGAATTTAGGAACACTTCTGGATCACAGGTAATATAGAATAAACACTGAGCTTGTTCTCAAAATGCTGTTGAAATACAACAAATTATTCCACTGGTAAATGTATATCGTTATAATGATTTGGTTTATTTGCTTTAAACTGATTTGTGTTAAACTTTTCTTTTAACACGAGAGCTGAGATTAATCATATCTCTATGGATCTGCTTTTTGAGCCTGTTTTTGTTGCATCGGTTGAAAGTGTATACTATTATAGTATAGTTACTAAATGAACAGAYGTCCCAACGAGCTGCTGAATTTAATAATAAAGTAGGTAATGAGTATTATTTTAAATGTTATTAAGGCTTGCTCRGTTCATCCAAGTGCATAAGTGCAGATAAGGAAAGTAACATTCATAAAAAAGACTAAACAACAATAAAAGCAATAATTATGCTTTATTGGGAAATGCATAAAATTATGTTTAATTGTATCTACAGTTCAGACAAAAATCATGTTCAAAGTAACCTTTTTGCAAAAAAAAAAGCACCTTTTTCAGACACCTTGCTGTAAGAACATCCTKTAGTGCACTGACACCAACATTTCAGATCATCAGGTGTTTTTTTATTTTTGCCATAATTTGCAAAAAATCTTGTATGAACTGATAAATAAAAAAAGCGCAGTCGTATGCATGAAATCTAACAGCAACATAGTTTGTTTATACTCGGTTAACCCCTGACCTCTGCTCAAAATCTATGAAATAGGCTTARTAGTCTTTTGTAATAGTTTTGTTTTTAACATCAAAAATTGAACAGATTATTTATTTATTATTTATTCACCGTTCTTTAACCAGACAAGTCCTTTTGAGATCTCAGATCTCTTTTTCAAGGGCGGCCTGGGCCTGAATGCAACCTACTGTACATGTTTTTGTGGGGTGGGGGAAACCGGAGTTCCCGGAGAAAACCCGCACAAGCACGAGGAGAACATGCAAACTCCGCACAGAAAGACCCCAGGTCCGAACCGGGGATCGAACCCAGGACCTTCTTGCTGTGAGGCGTCTGTGCTAACCACTGAGCCGTCGTGCTGCAGATGTCATGGTTATAACAAAAAATAAGCTTACCAAACCATATTTCCTTTTTAGATGGTAAAGTACATTATAAACGCACCATTTTATAGCTTTCTTTGTTTTAATAATGTTGTAATTTTGACACATTTTGAATGTCATTCCTGATCTAACATGTTACTTGCACTAGTCATAATTTTTAAATAACACTTTGGCGATTTAATTACAAATATTTGTTGTTTAAGGTATTTTTTTGGTTTGTTTGGTTTTGTTTTTTTTTGCATCTGAAATAATTGACCTTTTACAGATATGTCAGTGGTCATGCAAAGAAACACTTTGAGGAGAGCCATGGCCTCGGTGTTTGTCAAAGAAGGGGTGAAAAACTGGAGAAGGATAAAAMCCCTCATTCTGTCTGCATGGACTGCTGCAACCACAGTGTATTTTGGTGAGTATCTCTAATTACTATATTACCCATAACTAGGTGGAACCAGACATTTTTTCTCTTAATAATTGGTTCTGCACAGTGTTCTCTAATTTATTCATCAGTGGGATTCATTCTTTCAGTGTTTTCTGTGTGTGAATAAGGTGACTGTAACTTACTGCTCCATATTTTTATAGTTACAGGTGCGATGATTTTGTTGTCAACGACACCAAACTCGGGCATGTGCAGAAAGTGAGGGAACACCTTCAGAGTTTAGAAAAGTAAGTACAAATTTCAAAACAAAGCCACCGTGTGCTTTTTCTATGCCTAAAWGGTCACATTATGTTAGGGCACGAGTTGTTTGTCTGTTAGCAGGTTTCTTGTCAGCTCAAATCCACTAATAACCTACTAAAAGAATTTGATGAAACTTGGCGAAGTATTCKCATCACTATATAGCACGCATTACAGGTTTTCCAAAGCTTTGTTTCTTTTAAAATTAAATGAAGACTTAATTTGGGTAAAGATGACATGGATCTGTTGATTTATTTATTACATGGTGAAGACTCATCTTTAATTAAAAAAAAAAGTGTTGCTTAAATGTAAGTATGTTTAAGTCAAATGTGTTTTGATCCCTTCAGGCAAATGTTGCTCTGTCCTGGCGGTGTGTTTGTCGTCATATAGATTTATTCTGCCATCACATCACTTAATCTTTTTTGTCTTACAGTTCACTGGTTCTGGGCGACAGACAGAGGAAAAGAAAATTCCAGGAAAGCGCAGCTGGAGATGCAAAGTTGCTAAAAGACAATGTACGACTTTTCGTTTACTGTTTGTTTGCAACATCAACCATTGCTGCACTTTTCCATAAAGCTTCTAAATACACACCCACTCAAAGACACATGAAAATAACGCAGCTCCTCTTTCAGGACGGGGTGGCAATAGGTGCAACTGGTTTGAGGAACCTGGGCAACACGTGCTTCATGAATGCCATTCTGCAGTCCCTCAGGTAAGACTCAGCACAGACGACAAGGTCTGTGGGTGGTGGACTGACTCTGCAACAGAAGCCAGTAGCTCTGCCTCTGTTAGACCCAGGGCCCCACATCCAGTCATCCCTTATTAATATAGTCTGGGGCACAGTCGGGGGACTGCTTAGAAACAAGGAACAGCCAAGGACGGGTTCACACACACACACACACACACATATGCACACACATAGGATTATTCTGGTGTGTTTGCACATTTACTCGACACTTATCAGGACGCTCCAAATGAGTTTTTCTTACTATTAAAGTGTGTATTAGTAAATTATTTTCATTGTTTTGTCCAAATTAATTTGTAAAAACTAGAAAAAAATGCTTTCTAMGTAATGTATAGTTTGGACAGCAGGTGTTGTTTTAGTTGTATTATATTTAACAACTTTGCTTGTCTTTTTAAGTCGGTTGATCTTTATTTATTGTGATACAATAAACTTCCAAAGTGCCATAAAGTCACTAATCTTTACCCAAGTAAGCATCCAGTTTACAAACCTAAAGCACTTTAGAAGGGACAAATATTTTTGTTTGTATATTTTAGCTTCTTCTGCACATTTTCTGTTGCTTCTGATCAGTTTAATTGGTTTTACAATTTTGCAGTTTTTTTAATTTAACTGACCTAACAGTGTATTTACCTGCACAAAAACAGCGATGTGTGACTGCCATATAGAGCTGACATGGTAAAAATGTGTTAAAAACTGGCTTGAATTTTAGAAAAGTCCACAGAAATTTGATAAAGATTTATTTTACCCGGCTCAAAATGTAAATTCTTCCACAAACTAAAGAAATGCAGAGCTTGAAGATTTGACGGCTCATATTTGATCCCCCTACAGTTTTTTCTGGCGCTTGATGCTGCGCCACGCTCACTGATGTTCTCGCCAACTGTGTTTGTCCGACAGCAACATCGAGCAGTTCAGCTGTTACTTCAAGGAGCTGCCTGCAGTGGCTCTACGCAGCGGTAAGACGGCAGGAAGACGGATGTACCACACCCGCAGCCAAGGGGACAACAGTGTGTAAGGTCCTTTTCTGAAGGAAGGAGAATCTATGGGCATGCATATGGTTTTCATATCTGCAAGTGTACAGTTGAAGATTTTGTCTGTGTCATTTTATAAAATGCTGTTAAAAGTTGTAAGAAGCTTAGAAATTATGTAAAAAAAACAACAAATAAAGATTAAAGTGTAATTATAGGTTTATAGGTAGATTTTAGACTGTGCTGCTCTGTGACTGAGTGTCTTTCTGATGAAACAGTTCTTTGGTGGAGGAGTTCAGGAAAACTCTTTGCTCCCTGTGGCAAGGAAACCAAACGGCCTTCAGTCCAGACTCCTTATTTTATACCATCTGGAAAATCATGCCAAGTTTCAGGTTAGTTATCTCCATATGAARACTGAATAATAGTTTCCTTTTATAGCTGTCGGCATCACATTAATGCCACAAAAATGTTGCATGTTTTATACAGAGGCTATCAGCAGCAGGACGCCCATGAATTCATGCGTTACCTGCTGGACCATCTCCACAGGGAGCTGCAGTACAGTCGAAACGGGGCGTCCCACCCAGTACCGCCTCAGGATGGAGGCAGGATCTCCAACTCAGACGGCAAATGTTTCGTGTCAGTTCATCTAAGCTTTGAGATTTTTATTTTATTTTTGCTGTGGTTAAATACAATGTTTTCTTTAAAATTCAGCTCACAGAACACATTCTTCTTACTGTCAGTGCTAAATGTATATATTTAAGTAGCCCTTGTTGTTTGTGTCTACTTTTTTAATAACTTATTTTGAAAGCAGTCTAATTGTAATTCATTCTGTCTTCTTTTTAATGATACTCTTATAAATTGCAATTTGTTTCTTTAAATGAAAAACTTGTGTTTTAGTTTATTTTTTTCCATTGATGAAACTTCTGAGTGCACATTAAATGATTAACACAACTTTGTGCTCGTTGATTGTTTATGCAGAAATGGGCCTTCCAGTGTTGTCACATCTATTTTTGGAGGCGTACTTCAGAATGAAGTCAACTGCCTGATATGTGGGACAGAATCCCGCAAGTTTGATCCATTTCTTGGTAAGAAAAACTACAAACTCCACATGTTTTTTTTTTTTTTGGTCATATTTTTCTGAAGTTTGTAAATTAGAAAAACTTTTTACRGTATAAAGTTATGACTCCATGTTGCTCATGATAAATGTTTTCTCTCGTTCATTTTGACTCAGATCTGTCTTTAGACATTCCCAGTCAGTTCAGACAAAAGAGAAGTAAGGACCAGGAACCAGGCCCGACATGCACTTTACGGGGTAAGTTCATGTGTAAAAGAATAATTTTTAAATGTCAATATTAGGGTTGTAAGGTATTGATCTTTTTCATACCAACATATTATCTTTGGGTACGGTAAAGGGGCGGGGCTTAGGGTTGTATGGTCTGCGGCGTGTTGTTACTTCCTCCCGCACTCGCCGTCTCTCCATCKTGCCAAACTTCATTCACTTTTCACGTCTTTATTTTCTTCTTCCTTTAGAGTTTTTGGTCAAATAACTGGACCTTGGTCAGAAGAGGAGGTTGAGGGGTTTCCAATTATTTTTGTTTGTTTTTTGTTTGTTTGTTTGTTTGTTTGTTTTTTTTGGTTCGAGAGAAAGTTGAGACTGATTGTGAAATGAGCTGTTTTTCCCATGAGGCGTATGCTATTAACATAATTTCATTTGTATTATGCCAATCCACACAGTTTAAAAACTGGTGTTTAGTTTTAAGTCTTTACTTATGTCACAAATTGAAACACAAATCAGTCTAGAGCGATTTAAATAGGTCTTGTGATTCGGCTCTAGGGGGTTAATATGGTCTTAAAGCTGCTTTATGTAGTTTCTAGAAAACCGTGGACTTAGAAAAAGAACAGATACAACCTTCAGGTCCGCCCCCCTTGCACTCTGTTACGCTTCAGCCCACCTTCCTAAGCTCCTCCCACTGAGTCAGGAGCTTGAATGAGAGTGGCTGCGGGCAAGCAGGGCGGGGTGGGCGTGAGCATCTYGTCCTCGAACATGTTTGACACCTGTGAGACAAAACTCTGGGCTTTGATTTGCTCTTTTTCTTCGGGAGCGGTAGGTTTGAACAGATGGCTGTAGGACCACCGGGAGGAGCCAGAGGACACTTGTTTTTTTCAGAGATTATCTGTCAGGACATAGTGAGAGTTTTAAGAAAAATGACAAAAAGGAAATATTAGTTACAGAATGCAGCTTTAATCTTTAAATACTGTCACCATATTTGAATACCCAGTTATACCACAATACTGTCATACCACCCAAGCCTACTTTATATCACATTTTAAATGCACAACAATTATGAGTGTTTTTAATGTCTGCGTTGTTTATTTTTAGACTGCTTACGCAGCTTTACTGACCTGGAAGAACTTGATGAAACTGAGCTGTATTATTGCCATAAATGTAAAAAACGCCAGAAATCGACCAAGAAGTTCTGGATCCAGAAGCTGCCAAAAGTATGAATACATTTTTATTCCAACATATTTTATTCTTATTTTTTTACAGTTTATTCTCAGAAACGTGTAGCTTGGAAAGATTTATTGTATTTTTTAATTGTGTTTTATTTGAACTGGCAGGTTTTGTGTTTGCATCTAAAACGGTTCCACTGGACGGCCTTTTTGAGAAACAAGGTGGATACTTACGTAGAGTTTCCCCTGAAGGACCTGGACATGAGGGGTTACTTGCTTGAGGTGAGCCTGGAACAGGAGAAATGTGACGACAGAATTTTGGAGTAGTGGGCAAAAACATTAACATGAAGCTGATGCTGGATTTATGCAGGGGTGAAAAATACATGTAACTGTTGACCTCTCCTGGAGCTAATTCTGCTAGATGAGTAGCTTTAATTTGATGTCAACAGGTGCAAACGTCTCGATGTCGTTGTACCACCTGTAGCACATGTTTAACTCAATATTTGATCCGGTTGATGCTGGATGTCCAGGCAGCTTTGAAAAGCGACCCGCTCAGGTTTCCATGACTTTACGGGATGTTAGAAACTGATGATTCTTGCTTTTGTTTGATAATTAATTACTGAGCAGATGTTTGTTTTAGAGTCCAGATTGTTGCAGATTAAAACCAGTTAACTCTGCATCATATTAGGCGTCTGAATATTGAGTTGGTCCTAAACTTGTTTACTAAAATAGTTGTTTATGAAAAGTTTAGTTTGATGATTCTAATGTGGACCTGTTTTTGTTTAGAAAACAAACTTAATTTGGAAGTATTTTTTCTTTTATTGCAGGTTTTCCGCAAAAACTTCCTAAATCCTAAAATCTTCATCTTAATCTTAGTTTATCTACCAAAAATGTCTCTGTAAAGTGAATGCAACATTATCTGCTTTAGCAGTTCAGTTTGGTAATTATCTTAATTTTGCACCGATGTTTATTTTCAGTGCAAAAATGGGTAGTTTGGTTGAGAATTACTCATTATTCTGAATCCAGCATGAATTTTCTATCATGTTTCAGATAATTTTATGTCGAACCTTTCTGATTTTTATGAAAGTAAATGTGCTTGTGTGTCCATTGTTCAGCTGTGAATGCTGCAGTTTGGTGGTGTGCATCAGAAGAGCTTTATAAAACATTCACTTCTTACTCATTTTAATTCTTTCAGCCGGAGAATTCATTGCCAGGAAGTTGCCTGTATGACCTCGTGGCAGTTGTGGTGCATCATGGATCGGGGTGAGTGGATATTTATCATCTTTCTGGCTTGACGTTGGGATTTATTTAGGAATTTATGACCTAAATAAATGACCAAAGTTGTTATCATTTAAAATGATCCCAGCTTGAGAAGCATACTATTACAGCTCAGTGATGGGGAACAAAGATAGATTTACAAACCTTGGATTAATCCCAATAAGACAACAAATCTAAGAGCCAAGTCGCTGCATGAAAACAGGTAATCACAGATCATTTTCTGCCTGCCAGCTCTGTTGGTTGTGTTTGATCCATTTAGTTACTGTTTAAATATTTCAGCTCCTGTTTTTCATTTCTCAAATTATTTGTGAGCAGCTGGATTTTAAATAATGACATAACAAAATGTTGAGTTCTTTAAAAAGAAGATAAGCTAATAATGAAAGTGTTGCTATTTTAGCTTTGTCCTCTAAGTGGCAGTGTTGTTCTGCTCTTGTAAAGCTGAACGCCCCCCCCCCCTCGCTCCAACAGCAATAAATGAATTTTAGTAAAAAGSCAGAAGGGACAACGTGATGTGTGCGTCTGTGTTCACAGGGTTGGATCAGGGCATTACACAGCATACGGCAGCCACGAGGGCCGCTGGTACCACTTCAATGACAGCACAGTGACTCTGACCAGTGAAGACGCAGTGAGGAAGGCAAAGGCCTACATCCTCTTCTACGTGGAGAGGACTGGCCAAGCGGACGGGGACAAGCTTACCACCGACAGCGCAGCTACAAATACGCCCGACGTGGACGCTGCAGCCACAGCCGGTGTTTTGTCAGAAGTAGTTTCTCAGGACAACGTCGCCGCAGACGCCCCAGAAATGGAGCTGACGGACGGAGCAGCCACACAAATAGAKGCGTCTGGTGAAAAAGCCCAAGAAAACGCAGGTGTAAACACAGCTGCACTGAACGAGGCTGACAAGGAGGCCGTGACAGACAGAGATACCTCAGAGGAGACCGGGTCAGAAGAAGCTCTCTGAGCTTTAGAACCTGTTGGCCGTGATCCGGTTAGATTTTACTGCCTCAGATTAGCTCGGCACTTCATTTTGGTTCCACCTCAGTCATGTGATAAGTCATGATGCTTGATTATTATTATTATMTCTCTTTTTTCCCCATTTAATGTTTGCCATCAGTCTTCCCTTTGACTTTTTTATCATTGTTTGAATTTTGTCTTTTACTTTTCTTCATGTATTCCTCCGTAAGAGACTCTGTAACAGACTCCAGTTCTTGTTTAAAGGATAAAAGAAAATCATAAAGCGTCAGAAACGTCAGATGGTCACTGTTCAATGAACTGATACTTTGTGACAGCTGTGTTGTTGTTTTAAATATTGGGCATTTCARTTATTTTATTTGGCATCTTTTTATAAATGATTTCCAGTTACAATGTTAAGAAAAAAACATCTTTGACTTTTAAAGTGCTCATTTGCTTTACTTGAAGAAACTGTAAAAGTTTTGATCACTTAAAAAAAGATTTTGGTCTGCATTAATGGCGCAGCATCTTTTAACATGTTAAATCGATTTTATGATGGGACCCCAGTGATGTTAACTTTTGAAGCATGTATCAGCCAATGTTGCCATGTCAGAATACAAAAGAGACTTTTTGATTCCTACATTTGAGTTGCTCTGTTTTTCTTTTCTTTTTCTTTTTTTACTGGTTCTTAATCTTGCTTTTGTTGTTTGTGACTCAGTCTAGTTGACAGAAATCTAAAGCTTTAGCTACAATTAAGCATCTCATCTGCTAGACATTAATGTCTGAAGTATTTTGAATCAAAAAAAGGCTCCTTTGTTTATTAAAGTCAGAACGACAAAGGCCACTGCCTCTTAATAAGACACTTGTCAAATTATAGAAAACTACAAGATCCAAATGTTTTAATTCTAATGGTTAGCTGCCTTTATTATTTTATAGTAAAGTGTGAATTTAAAGGAGAGATTTTTTTTTCTGTTGCCTGCCTCTAGCCTTCAGCAGAGATCTCCACCCACGCCCAGGCACACATGCACATCGAGCTCTCCCCGGCACACGTGCCAGGCAGCCCTCTCGCTCTGGCAGGAACAAGCACTCCTGTATGCAGAGGAACAGCTGCTGGTCGTGGCCAGCTCACAGGTGGCTCCGACTTCTATACTCTGCCCTCATTAATGACACAAGTGGCCTTTTCCCTCCTCCTCCTCTCCTCTCCTGTTTTTTGTAGAAATTTGTTCCAGAGTAATTTGCTCACATTGCATAGTTCTGGTTGCGTCAGAGGGCTGCTTAAGGACATCATGACACAGTGAGTCAGAGTACAGGATGTTATCAGCCTCCTAACACTGGCATTTGCTATAGTCTGGGTTGTTTGTTTCCTTATATATGGATGATGAATTGAACAGGATGTGCTTGGAAAATAGACTGACAGCAAACATGGAGGCTAATGATGTTTTGCCTTTTGCCATCAGTACATCCCCTGTTCTCGTTGAGCAAACACTGACTCATAGTTTACTATGTTGCCTTAGACAAAATCAGTAACTGTGTGTGTTTATGACTTCTCACATGTCGGGCTTTTCAGGTCAGCACTCTGAAGTTATTTGTTTAATTCTCTGAAATGTGACACGTAGCGGTTCCACAGTCCTAAAGGTGACTCATTGAGTTTGTTCTAAAGTCTATTTGTAATCCAACAAACTGTCCTCGATTACTCTAAATACATTCTCATAAAATTGCAGCTAATTGCTACAAATTGTTTTCACAGGTTAACTGCTCATTATTTCAGTTCAAGCTGGAGACGGTTTGTCGTAGTTTTATTATTTCTACGTTTAGCTGAAGATCAGTTTGGTCCAGAGTTGTTGTTTTTTATGTAACTTTTTCAATCTTTTTATCCATCTGTATCTGTGCTACAATGGTGTAATGCTTAAAAAATATTTATTTTTAAAAGAAGTAAAAAAAAAAAATTCTCTTAAAAAACTTGGAACTTTTTTGACATTTTGGTCAGAAAACGCATTCGCCTCAATTGACCATGCTGATTATAAACTGTCATCTGAAGGTTTTTAGATTTTTTTATTTTTATCAAAGAAAAAAAAAGAATTAGAGATATAAAGAATGGAAACAGTGCAAAGAGTTTAGCTGTTAAGGAACATTATACTGTAAATACAAAAAGTTTAAAATCTCATAATTGATCGCAATAACAAAAAATATGTTTACAAATTATTTTGACTCTGCAGTCCATAAGGTTGGTCAAACACATTCACTGATAGGTGACAGAAAGGTGCATCAGTGTCCCTTATGGTCAGTTCTGAAATCCAATAACACTGCAAAAATTGGCAAAAGATGTTCGTGTCAATTTTTTGACATTGATGTTACCTTTTTATTTGTCAACATCCATTCCAAAGTATTTGACGGTTCATTGAAATATAGTAGAGTATCAAGTTCAAGTTTATTTTATTTATATAGCCCCAAGTCACAACATACGTTGTCTCAGGACACTACATAAAAAGAATAATCTAACGAAGAAACCAGCAGGCTGCGTTGAATCACTTCATCACAGTCTCCCATCCTGAGCAAACGGTGGAGAGGAAAAACTCCCTGCTGATCAGGAAGAAAAGTATCAATAATTCAAATGCCTCAACTTGTCTGGTGTTTATAAAACGTCTCCTTTTTGTGACGATCGGTAACTTTAGTTGAGGATCCAGTGCTGTGGCCAAATGATTTGCTCAATTACATGTTTATTCTGCTTATTGGTTTTTGTCACCTGTTTCAGATCAAACATGTTAATCAGAGAAAGATAATCTGAGTCAATTCAACGTGCAGTTTTTAAATTATTTCATTCATGAAGGGAGAAGAGCCCTTAAAACTAGTTGTGCCCCTCTTGGTACCAACAACTGCAATCATCATACTACCACCACCATGTTTGACTGAAGGAATGCTGTTCTTTTCCTGAAATGCAGTGTTGGTTCTAGGCCACACCTTGAAAAACGTTTGCAGAAGATTTTYCCAAAAGTCTTGAGGATCATCGAGATGTTTTTTGATAAAAGTGAGACGAATCTGTCTTATTTTTGGTCAGCTGTGATTTTGGCGTTGGACCATTTTTGTCCTTTGCCTCTTCTTGTTGAGTCCTAAACTTTGGGTTTGAGGTCTGAGTTTCTTCAGGACCTCCTGGATGAGTCGATGGACTCTTTTTGTTCTGCTGGCCACTCCTGGGAAGGTTCACCACTGTTCCATGCCGTCTCCTTTAGTGGATAATGGATTTACAGCATTTTTAGTTATTTCTTGATTCCTCAGATCTCGTGGTGAAACTGAACTCGGCTTTCCTTAAAAAGGCAGTTCATTCACTTTTTAACCAAAGGGTGGAAATACTCTTCCTCATAGAGCCAGAACTAATCTAATGAAGCCTTAATTTTGTATTAACTCAGATTATCTTTATCTGACATGAAACATTTAAAACTGGTTAAAACAGAAGAAATCTCTGAGGGGTCTGCTTGAGTGCAGGTCATCCGGGGTTAATATGTTGCACAGCGCTATGTTTTAGGAGCATTTGTAATTCTTTTACGCTCTACTTAAAGTGTCWGGTGGTACCTTTCTTTCTAAAAAGGATTTCTCACAGAAAGGTCCCCCATCTTAGGCTGAAATGTTGGACCTAGACTTGAACTGAAAGCCGTGTCTGAACATTTTACCTGGAAATGTAATTCTTTTGGAGGTACGTGGAGGTGTCTCGTGGAGCGAGTCTCGTTTTGTGAAGTAGGGACGGTGTAAACATCTGGCTCCGTCCAGCGMTCACTGTCTGTTGAGAGTCATGACAGATGGCGAGGGAGAGGATAACTCAAACACTCCCTTCTTTGAACGTATCACAGTTGTCTTCCCAAAATAGCCTCCGCTCCACCGCCTTATATGTGCAGGCCTTCAGTGTGTTTGTGTGTGTGTGTGCGCCTGCGGGGGCATCATGTATCTAGGCCACACAATACAGGCTGGGGGTTCATTGTTGCAGCCTACCAGCAGGCCTGTCACTGCCCAAAGGGATGAGGCCCCTGTGAGCGCCTCGGGGGACCGCCTCGGCATGCATCTCACTCATCTCAACCGTGAGTGTCTCCTCCACCTTTTCTCCTTCCTGGACAAGGACAGCCGCAGGAGCTTGTCCCTTACATGTCGTCGACTGCGCGAGGTCTTCCTGGACCCTCGCCTCTGGAGTCTGCTCCACTTCAGCTCCCCGTGTCAGCTCAGGCGGGACAACTTTGTGCTGGGGCCGTCGCTGCGGTACTTGACTATCTGCTGGCACTCCAGCAGGGTCCAGCAGGTGTGCAACATCGAGGACTGGCTGAAGAGCTCCTTCCAGAAGGACATCTGCAGCAAGCATGAGAACCTGGTCAGCACTTTCCTGGCTCACGTCTGCCACATGTGAGTGTCAGAGTGTGGTGTCCCCCCCTGCTTTGCTGGGAAAATATATAACTTGTACTGCCCGAAGCTGGAGAATTGGATAATGTATTTTATTTATTTATTTTTTTTGCTTTGTTGTATACCGACACATCTCATGAACTAATTGACAGATTTAAACCAAACACTCAAAAAGTAATCATTGGATGAACATTTACACACAATGCGAAAATAACTCAAACTTTGTTGTTTTTACAGATTTTGAGCTAAATTTAGTGGTAGTGTAGCAGATAGTCGTCCCTGTGATTGTTTTTGAGCACTTTTGCATCTTGGAAGATCTCATATCTCATAAGAAAAGGACATTTATCAACTCTGTTCTTCCTCGGACTCAGGGGCGGTTCTAGGGGCGGGGCCACAGGGGCATTGGCCCCATCTGAAATCTGATTGGCCCCCTCAAGTGCCCCCTGTCCTTTCACTCATCTGTCCTTGCCCAAGAACAATGATGGTGGCTGCAGTTCCACTTCCAACCACTACTGGCGCCAGTGAGTCAAATAGGAAAGTCCAACATAAAGAAGTCTTTTTCAGTTTGAACTATCCTGCAGAAGTTTTTACTGGGAACAATGGCTGGATTTTCTCACATGTGTTTGAGAGTATTTTATCTATGTACAGTAAAAAAAAAAACATGTAAAATTGATAAGGAGAATTTACTGTGCAAGCTTTAGTGTTTGAATACGTTTGACTGATTAAATGTATAAATCTTACAAAAACTGGGGATTTGTGTGCAAGTATGTTGAACAAATACTTGGCCCCTCTATGAAAATTGTGGCCCATTGATGGCCCCTTACACTGAAAAATCCTAGATCCGCCACTGCTCGAACTAAGATTATTTCAATTCAAGAGACCCTTCAAGGAATCCTGGGTCTTTAATCCCTTTTCAGTGATGAAACAGATGACATTACCAACAGCAGAGAGATGTCTATTTGGTTTTAGATGATAATGAGGTCACTTGAGCCCACAACAGCGGACAAAAGAGTTTACATTTCAGACCCCGTGCTTTAGTCAAACTGTCATRTTTAGCTGTCGACAGCAGCGAACAGGATCATCAGAAACAGATGGTGGATCTGGAGCTGGCTGCTGAAACAAGGCAAAAAAAGAAGACATCTGTTGGACATGAGACTAATTCTATTAACTAACACAACTGTGGGCACATATCAAATTAAATTCATTGAGTGACGTGACACTTGGATTTGATTGGCCATTGAAAATTGGCCCTTTGAGGAATCAGCCCGGAGAGGCCTAATGAGGGGTCTCTGGATAATTTCTTCATGGCTGCCAGTAATAAGTGCTGATGTGAGGGGAGCTCAGACACTGCAGCTGCTGGACGGGGCCCAATTTTTTTAAAAAAAAGGAGAGGGGTTGGGTTTCGTGGGACAATGAGCGAGCATTTCCTGTATTGTGAAATTGGASACGCGAGTCATGAGAGCTGTTGAGAGATGAGTCGAAACTAGAACCACCTACTCGTGTCCAGGGCTTGGATTTCAAGGCCTTTTAGGGCACGCGCTGTTTTGCATACTGATAAACCCTCCCCAAATCGTCTGAAAGGGAGAAGAAACGCGCACGTGACAGAGTGGGAGGACCCACGGAGAAGCTGTGGGAGTGATTAAAAAAAAGTGGTTTGGCCTCAGACGCTCCCAGTCAGCTGCAAAAACTGGAGATTTATGCAGGCAGGTGGAGCCTAAGAATTGGCTCTTTGTAGCTGTTTGAGGAATGAACATGTGCGTCTGTCTCTGCCTGCCTCTTCAGCTCTGACGCCAACAACGGCTGGCTTCCTATCCTCGTGGAAAAACCAATAAAGCCAGCATCTCTATAGGCTCTGTGAGTTGTTTTGAAATGCAACGCTCTTTTAGAGGAAGACGACTATGGTGAATCACTTTGCAAGAACTCACTTTTGATTATGTTGAGGTCACGACAAGAAAAAAAACATGCTGTAAGTGCTGTGTGTACAGTCGACTGCTCGGTGGGAGGCCAAAAAAAAAAGCTTTAGCCTTTGCTTTTTAAACACCACTGAATAGGATCAGTCCTTACTTTGATCTGCACCGGTTGCCTAAATTGATGCTTTCTCTTTCAAATCAGATCATAAAAGGAACCCTTTGATTTTTATTTAGGCTTTATTTCCTGAAGCTAATACACACCGGCTCTAGTATGGAAAGAATAAACAATCGACTTTAAAAGAAAACCTGTAAACTTAAAAGATTGATGGAGACACAGCCTAAACGCACACTTCGGTTTTATTTTTATTCACAGGACAATCTGACCAGACAAGAAAAGCTTTCGAGAGCCAGACAGGGTCATTAGAAAGATGATGACAGGTTTGTGATGAGCTGGTGCTGCTGCAGCCTCCATCAGACTGACCTCTAAGCTGTTGGGTTTAACGTGAGCTACAYCATGTCTCAAAGAAAACAAAAGGAGGAAAATAATTCTGACATACAAGGTAAAGGTAAAATAAAACAAAATGTTTCATATATCAGAATATATTAAATATTTTATAGGTCATAAAAATGGATAAGTCCAACCTGAGATGAATAATCCATTAGTGGTGAAACAATACATTAATCTACTGTATATCGATATATCGGTTAAATGACTAATGATTCAATTAAATCAAGACAAAATGAAAATACCGATCTATATTGTTATCATATGCTCGATGTACATCAATTTCACATGGCCATCTAACACAGTCATAGACATAGACTTGTGAATTGAACTGAATCAAAATCGTATCGTGACAGACTTTGTGATATTGAGAAATATATCGTCATCCGAACAAATCGATGTAATATAGTATCGTGATAAAGCTGGTGATTTACACCCCTATAATCTATGTCTTGTGGCATATTATTAAAGAGCCATTCTGTGGAAAGGTTTATTAACAAATAATATCTTACCTGTTTTAGATAGCTTTTTAGATAGCCTCAGTTTGGATAAATAACTTAAAGGGGAGGTGTTATCCAAAATCAACTTCTTTGAGCTTTATATCATGTTATACTATCATTCCCTCATCATACCCAGAGTGTTGCTTTGATTCATTCATGCATGTTTGAGAAATCCTTGAATCTCCTGTGGTAGCCATATGGGGCTGCCTAAACGATTGCTAGTACAAAGCTCCGCCTCTTTACACAAAGCTCCTCCCAGGAGCTCAGTCTGGAGCTGAGCTCCCACCCCACAGAGCTCCACCAGACTAGTTGCAAGAGAAATACTTATTCATAAATATTACTGCTAACTGAGCTGCTGCTGCTATATGTATCCACACTATGTAAAATGGACAGAGCTCTGCGGGAACTGCTATGATTTTTTTATTATTATTATTGAATTAAGCTGTTTAAAGATGGCAGTAATATGCTTTGGTCTTGGACTAGCCTTTTGGTCATTAATCTGGTTAGAATTCAACTATTTCATTTATTATTTGTAAATAGTTTGTTATAGTTAATTCTATCAACTAAAATTCACTTAAAAGCCACAAAAAAGGAGGAGTTTGTGTGTCTAAAATAATATAAAACCAAATCTGCTGCAGGTGTGCGAATGCATTCAAGGAACTGACATGTTTTGATAAGGCACACAAAATAATTCTGTATTCACTGAGTGAGAGTGCTGTGACAGGGTGGATTATGTAACAAAGGTTGATCATTTAATTCCTATTAMACCTACCTGCTTTCACTTCAGGGCATGGCCGCTGAAACACAGAGACATGGCAGAGCAAATATACGTCTAAATCCCRCGATCACCACCGAGTACACAATCTCATTGTGTGATTTTTATGTTCTTCTTTTACTGCCATCACCTAACAAAGTCAGAAAGCTCCTGCCGCCGCGCACATGACTGTGCTGTGGCRTGTTCAGAGGTTACTGGGCCAGCACCTTCGCAACACTGGAATATGTTTGGCTCACATGTAGGAAGGCAGTGAGATTATGTAAGTGTTTATGTAATCTGCATCAGCGAACATGAAAGACACCCATGATCTGCTGCCATCTGAGTGTCTGCCTGCCGGCCTGCCTGCCAGGAGGCTGCAGTGATACTGTACAGAAATGTGTCTTCCAGCAACATTTGGCTGATTTATTTTTAGAAGGATTTTTTTTTAAGAATACAGCAGAAAAATGTGCAAACATTCTGTTACTCTTCTGTTATAAAAGCATGTTTCATTGTAGAATTAAAGGTCTAGCAAAGAGTGAAGGAAAGCATATCCTTCATATCCTTATAGCACAGCTTTTCATGCCAGAGTTTTAAACTAAAATCATTAATGCTGAGAACCGATGCAGCTTTGTGAACCATGTTGCATGCAATTGTATGCGATCCTGTGAGATTTCTTGAGATATGTTAGCCCTCTGAGTATGTGCTGCGTTTCCAAAGCTTAGTTGGCTCTGATGGACATCTTAAATTGACTCCAAAAGTCACTGAGTTGTAGATGTACAATGATTACTTTGTGAAAGTTTCATTTTAATTCAAGGGGCTCATAAGTTATTTTGGTAAAAGACATGCACTGATGCAAAAATGTTATTATTTGCCTACAGCAGTGCTTTTCAACTGATGGCCTGCGGGCCATTACTGGCCAGTCGGTGACTTTAGTCTGGCTGGCTGATGAGTTCTTTTTTTTTTTTTTAAAAAGCAGTGATTTTTTTCCCTTTAACTTGAATGACAAATAAATGTAATAGATCAACAGTGTCAAACTCATTTTCACTATGCGGCACATGATGGCCCTCAAAAAGACAGTTGTTACTAATGTTACAAATTTGATATTTTATGTTTAGCTTTAACTTAAAACACTAAAAGTCACGTTCCTTGTCTCGTACAATAACTGAGCTCTACATGGTATTTCCTGCATAGAAACAGTGTTTTAACACGTCTTCTTATGAACACAAGTACATGTAAATTATACAGAAATACTAAAAGTAAAAGTAGGTGAGTTTTACTCACTGTTGAGTTGTGGGGAGTTGCTTTGTCTTGAATTATGAATTCCCTCTTTCCGACAGGAAATTCCCACTGGAGGGGGAGTTCCATTTTAAATTTATGACTTGTAAGTAGGAAATTCCCAYTTCCCAGTACAACTAGCCCACAGCAAAAGTAGCTGGTGAAAATGCAGTGAAGAAGAGACTTTTCACGGTGAATTTCACCGGCTGACGGCTGCTTTTGAACCCTGTGCAGCTCCACCGAGTGACAGAATGCCGTCATTCTCCACCAAAATTGTAGGAATTACTTAATGAAATCAGGACCAGCCTATTTTCATAAATGTAATTCAGCAAGACCTTGCAAGAAATGAAATCAGAAATAATGAAACACCCCTCTGATCATGAATGAGAAAAGAACTTGTGACCTGAACAGATCTCTCAAAATAAAGTAATTTATTTTGAGAGAGTGTAAAATAATCAACATGCATTATGGGTGATGTAGTTTATGGTCAATGCTGCTTTAAAACATGTGCTTTATTTAAGCCATTAATCCATCTTTGGGCCACATAAAATGCAGTGATGAACCACATTTGGCCTGAGGGCTTTGAGTTTGACACGTGTTAGAGATAATCTATAACAGGGCTATACAACTTAATCTGCCTGCATGCCACTGACTTGATTTAATATAAAATTTCATTTTAAATCAGAAAAAAATTAAAGGAGACTGTTTTTTGTTTAATTGTCTGCCCCCAGCAACTTAGTTGAATCTGTCTGGGCTACACATTTCAGTGGCAGGCGATAACAACAAACCATAATCAGACCATGGTATGGTTTTGTAGACATTACAGTTCTCTATCATTACAAATCTTGTTACTCAGATCTGTAGTTTTTTGTTCCCTCTCAGCTGCACTAATCTAAAAATAAGCACCTGCACCTAAAATCAGTGTTTACCAAGATTTGACCTAATCCAGACTTGATCAATAATTTGATGATGAGTAATAACAGGCTTTCTGTAAAGTGGGCGAAAACATGATGTCACTGTCTGCTCTCCGTCCCCACAGGTGTCCCAACCTCCTGTCGCTGACGCTGTCGGGCTGCGCGCACATCACCGACCAGGACGTGACCTCCGTGCTGCGGAGCTGCCCCAGGCTGCGCCGCCTCYGCCTGGAGAACTGCGTCCGCATCACAGACGCCAGCCTGCGGGGCRTGGCGGCCCACGGGGCCAGCCTGGAGGAGGTGAGGGTGGATTTCTGCAGGAACATCACGCAGGCGGGGCTGCGGAGGTGCCAGGAGGCGAGGCCGCTCGTCAGGCTGAGCGCAGAGAAGAGCGCCGAGATGATCCCCGACAGCACGCCCGAGGAGAAGGTTGCAGTCAGGAGGACCCTGCAGAAGCTCCTGCAGGTCTCCTGATGGCCGGCGTCCATCCACAGGAAGACACATCTCTACTGACTTTCACAAGGATCCTGCTTTTTTAAATGTACCTTTTTAAAGCAACTTTTTATACAGTAATTATTAAAAATATTTTTTTCCATATAAGTTTTGACTTCATATGTGAGCTTATCACTGATTCCTAACACATTACTGTGATGTAATTGTTTACTTTGGATGTTTAAATAACTCATTCCTTACATGCTTTCTTAAAGCTCCAACCTGTATGACTAAACTACAAGGAGCTAATTTTTTTAAAAAAAAAAAAAAAAAAAAAAAAAAAAAAAAAAACGTGATCAGACTTTGACAGTTTTTGTCAAATCCTAAAATTTACACACACAAGCTTAGGTTATATGCTGGGGATGACTCTCAGCTACGATCACATCGATTTGCAGATCAGTATCTGTAAAACTGTCTGAGCCAGAAGCATTTTTGTGTTTGCTGAGGTCGACTGGCTGCGGTGGTCATCTTGAAACAAGCGGACACAAAAATCAGTTGTAGATGCACCTTCAGTAATTACCCTCAGAGATTATCATTAAAACCTGGCCATTGTTTCATGAGATATTTTGCTAACAGACAATTAAATCGGCAACACAAGCCCACATTATTCACTTTTTATGGTGGTGGGTAATGGAAACATACAATTCTACATATTTTAGCTCTATTCAAAGGTTAAAAAAAACATTACACAACTAAGTGATAAACACGTTTTATTGTCTTTGCCTTGWGTTTACAAAAATATGTTGGCGCAATAAAGTTTTCCATTTTATGTGCAAAATGTGTCAGGTTTTTATTGGAAATGGACTTCTGCTAACGGGATGGAACGTAAACAGATCAGAAGAGGAACAAGTGTTCAGATTGTTTTCCTGGAGAAAAAAAAATAAAGTCTCACATGCTTTAAGCAGTAACATTTTATAAACAGCAGTAAAAAGTTTTATGAAGTCATTTGGTTTGTTTTCCTGAAAAGCAGTATTTTATATGGTGTCATGTTCTTATTTAGACTGAACTTCTTGTTTTAAAACCAGATAATCTGAGTGAATCTGAAATGGATTAGTCTAAAGGAAGTTATTAATCAACCCTGTTTTTATTTTTGCTTTTTGATAATATGGCCATTTATTAAATAAAAACCATGTTAGACATTTAAAAGGAAAACTAATTTTTGGTACAAATAAAACTTTGAAATATTTGAAATTTGAACCCTGATTTTACACTCAAAAACATGTAATGAATTTAATAAAAAAATCATGTAAGCTGAATTGAGCAAAGGTAAAACATATGTAAATGTAAAGTAAACATAAAGCAAATGTCTTATTCAGCACATTGGAACTAGTTCACATTTTTAAAATTAAATCCATTATATCTCTTTTTTGAGTGTATACTGCTTTTTGAAACCACAATTGTTAATTCTTTTTTTAATTAAGTATTTCATTTCAACAGTATTTTATGTCATCTACCATTTGAAATGTTATGTTTCAAACAGGTTCAAAGCACTTCCTGTCTTTAAATAAATATCTCAGCCTACTCTACAAGAAACTACTTGATAATGTTAACTACTGTATGTAATGTTTAAGAGTTGTAATAAAATATTAAACACAACCAGTGAGAAATCATTCAAATTATAACATGGTTCTGTTATTAAAGCTATCACTCTTTAGCTTGAAGTAGTGCAGAACGTACCGGTTTAAATCACACCGCTGCTTTCCACCAGTAACCAGACGCAAACAGTTCTGCTCTGAGCGCAAAGCTCGTAGGTCAGTGTGGACAAAATCGTCCCAGTGGCTGAGTGTTTCCCAGAATAAACAGTTCAGATTTATAGGTTCCACCACGAGGCACATCCGGCCACGTGCAGCCCTCGAACCCAACAACTGGACTGTGTTTGACGTGTAACAACACGACCCCGGCTCAGCATCACTCCCATCAGTCTTTGCGTGTGTGTGTGTGTGTGTGTGTGTGTGTGTGTGTGTGTGTGTGTGTGTGTGTGTGTGT